ATTATTTTAGTAATATAGTTTGAAGGCAACATTTTCTTGAATTTTTAAGTACTTTCGTTTGGTAAGGAAAAAAATATACTTTAGGGGGGGTAAAATTTTGTTTCTGCCCTTATCATGCGAACGCGACTTCAAAGCTTAAAAAGACATAAGAACGAAAAGTGAAGCTTCTCAAGACAAAAATAATGACATATCAATTTTAAAAATCGGCCGTCAAATAACCAAGTTACAACGAAAAAACCATTTCGGCTGTATTTCGGAGGGTTAAAAAAAAAAAAAAAAATTTTTCCAGAACCCTCTCAACATAATCTTTAAATTTAGGGGCGGACATTAGCAACTTTTTTTTTTTGTATGGGGACCGACCCAGTCTAATACACACCCTCTCACACACACATGCACTCAAAACTGATTAGCAGCCCACTCAATTGACCCCTCTTGACTGGGCGAACAATAGCAAAAAGTGCCTAACGCTGTAGCCTCTACCCACCCAGGTGCGTAACTAAATTGCGCTGTAACCTAATTTTCAAATTCAATTTTCCACTTGCTTAAATCAAATCATCCCAAACACGCTGCTCTGGCCGGGATATAACACACGAATAAATTTATGCACAAAATGCAAAGGGTCGAAAGGGCGGCAGAGAGAGAAAGCGGCGAGGTGCAGAGTGCATGAGCGCCACAAAGAAATCGTTACACTTTCCTGGCTATATAAAGATTCATCATTCGCACACATAGGCAACAAGCAAAAGTTTTCATATGGACCTATATATAAATATATATGTATGTAGATATGGATACATATGTTTGTATGTACATATATGGGCCAAACAAACCCAAGCGTACCACTTACAGCACCCGTCAGAGAGTATGTGTTGGTAGTTCACATATCATCCAAGGCGCCCAGATTCAAAATGAGTTGCCATAGATCCGCACACGTCTGCTGGCAACTCATTTTAAAACACCCACTCCTGCACCCATATAAAACATGGTGTATGTTAATATAAGGCATGTATGTATGCATAAACATACATGTACATACATATGTATGTATAAACACGCATGTATTCCTATACATATGTACGTATGCCTTTGTCGGCAGTCAACTCGCTAGCTATACCATGATCTTTTAACTATGCACAGTGCGATATTTGAACAATCTAAGTGGGAAAAATTATCTACTTTAAAAAATATGTCCCCGACTCTTTTATTGACGTAGAATACGTCTTACCTTACGATATGAAGGCTATGCTTAAATGTTGTAGTTGTAATTTTTAGAGCTTTACGAAAACGCTTATTGCGCGAGAAATGAATGAAGCGATTTGAAAGAAAAGTATGGCATTTTAAAGACAAAACTCCAAACCTATCAGCAGATTCATTTCTGTAAGCAACCAATCTGGTTTCTGTCGTAGCAACAACGGTAAATATTGCCCTATTTTGGAGTAAATTTTGAGCCTTTAAAGTGCTCCAGCAGCTTATGATTTACAGATATAACTTTCATTTTCAGGATATAGATTCTATAGAAATATTACCGTGTACAAATTTTATATAAACTCAACAAATATTGAGCACTTTAATGAAAAGGAGACAAAACGTATGTGTGTGTAGGTATTTCGGCTTTTGAATAACAGATGGCGTAACATTTATGACCAAATCGCAGCGTATGTATGTTATTGATTTTGCTATCGATATTTTCGGAACTCATCGATATAATAAACCATATTTTTATCGATTTTGTTATCGTTTTTATCGATTATTTATCGATTTCGTTATCGATATTTTTATAGGTTTTGTTATCGATTTTGCTATGGATTTTGTTATCGATAGTATTATCGCTTTTGTTATCGATATTTTTTTCTTAGTGTGTACTTTCGTTTTCGACTCGGAGGTGCTCTTAACTATACCACGTATTCTATGTTTAAATTTAGCGGCTGTGTCTCCGATACAGCCCGCAGACCAAGACGAAGGCGCTGGACTGTTCCTTTTTTTACATACGTACATATGTGATACAAACAAAACCCACTGTTACGAAAATTAACACAAAATAAAATAAAAAATAACGGTTGACATATTAGCTATAAGATACTTAAAATATTTTCAATAAAAAAAAAATAAAAAAAAAATAAAAATTTTTAGTGCAATTTAATTTGCTTTTTATGCATTTCGATTCTTATGCGCGTGATTTTTTTGAGGTATCCACGTGATTAGTGACCAAACATTAACAAACCACTTCATAATTTTCTTCGATAAGCGATGTAGTTTGTACTCAAGAACTTCAGATAAGTGAGTATTTCATCATCTCATAAAATATTTTTGTTGTTTTGAAAACAAGATTGATTCTTAATAGACATATAGCATTATTCAAGCGGTAGGACCATTTGTGGTTTGTAGTTCTAAATAAAAAAAAAACCAAAGAAAAAGAAACTCCACTTTTACTTAAAAAAAAGGACTTTTTGCACAGTAGGCGTAGACAAAATTACATATTTTTGTTTTTCCTATTTCCGCCAGTTCATAGCCTTCATAATATTTTTCATAAATATATGTATGTTTTGCATGGGGAGGAGCTTTCCGAATTTCAGCAACCGAAAGTTTTGGAAAATTGGCAATAATTCGCCAATAACCAATCTCTGAAAACGGATAGCATATCGAAAATCAGCATTCTGAATATAGCCTAAGAGTATGCATAAATAATTCTGTCCACCCAGATTGTTGAAATATCACACTGTGCTATGGTGAGAGCTTATTTAGCTTCGTGTTGTATGTCTCTTGTAGCGGGGGTTGATTTGTCTATACTGGCCTACAATTTTACAAGTATGTAAGCGCACGTATTAATATACATACGTACATGTTTCTACGTTAGACCGTACCAGAAAAAAAGTTGGATATATACCCCTGAGCATAAAATATTTTTGCAAGACAACTTCTAAAAAAATTAATTTTTTTCTTTTCAAACTTGGAGATCGCCTTTTTACATTTTTCGTCATATCTTCGGCATTTCCAGTTGGATCTTCAAGTGTGATATATCGATAATTTTGTCCTAAATTCATTGACATTCAATAACCCGCTCTATCTAGTATCTACTTACCCACTACTTAGATCTAATTTTTGCCACGCTCATTTTTTGCCTCGCCAAAAATCATTAAAGTTTTGCTGTATTTTGATTGCTGCAGTAGTTAGAGCTATTTTACTAGTAAAACAATTTTTTTATTGCCGAATGTACATATGTAGGTCTCACGGAAAAATATAAAAGGGCTACGCCTAGGTTCGACCAAAAAATTTTTTTTTCGCTATTGTCTTCCTTGAGAAATACTTTAGACTCAGGCGGGTAAGGTGATTTTTTTTTATGATTTTAAGGTGATCCGGTCTAATGTACGTACATACACATGTATATATATTTTCCGCGACATTGACATCCTCGCTTGCCTCGTTGATTTTGGAGGCTACGCATCAGCGTCTAATGAATTATTAATAAACCACATAACGAAGTGCGACAATGTGGCTGCTATAGGCAACGCAATTTTTGCGCCAACGCTCCTAAGCACATCAATCCGTTGGGAGCAGGTAATATGCCAACTGAAGTTTATGTG